CAGTCGCGCGTGGGTGGAATGTGCACGTGGTTACGTGCGGTGTGTGTGGTGCGCCAGGGGGCGGGAGCGACGCCCGAGATGGCCACGAGCCTCCGGCCGCCAAGGCGGCGCAGGCGCAGGGCGCGGCGGCGGCGGGCGCGCGCCCCAATGGAGCCGCCGCCCATGTCGTGAGGGGGACTTCGCAAGGGTGAGCCCACGCCCGCCCCAGACCTTACACCCGGCCTGGGCCAACACTTGTGCTCAATATTCTATTATTAATTAATTAAATGCTTTATTGTATTCTTATATTTATTTGTATATTATTATTATTTATTTACTATTTTATTATTTTCTTATTTATTTTATTTTATTTATTTATTTATTATTTATTTTTATTTTATTTTTTTTATTGATTTGTTTTTTGTACATAGTTCGATTTAATAACTTTACATATGGTATTGAGCTTGTAACCTATCTGTAATCCTAAACTTTATTCCATAATTATACTACTACAGAGGTTGAGGGAAACCAAATGGCACCTCATCAAGAACTAATTCCAGATCTTAGAACAATTTACAAAATATGTGGATGGATATTTAATTTTTTATAGCGAGCTGGGCTGGATGGAGGCACTTGTGTATTGCAAAGAGATCTATTCCCTCGATAGTTATTTTAATTTAACAAAAAGATGTGCTACTGTCAATATTGTTAAAATCTCAAATATATTTCTAATCGCGTAGCTCATCATTATAGATAATCTGAAAAATGTACAGAATTATACACAAAAATAAAAACATGGAATGAATGAAATTTCAAATACAAACAATTATTTACAAAATATAATGTTCAGTAGTACGCTATATATGGTAGAGAAAATAGTTATTTACGAGTTATTTATTAAGCTCGTACAAGAAGTGAGTCTTCGGGAAAGGATGAAAAGTTGATGACGAGGTGACCGATACCGAACAGATTTCTCGCATTTTGAAGTGTGCAGCGCCAAAGACCAACAATTGCTCACATTATTTTTTATTACGAAATTTCATGGCTATTTGTTTTTCTGAAGTCATGTTTTCTTGCACATGCTGAAATGATCCGTCCATAATTTGACCGTTTCCCAGAATCTTAACGAAAGAACATTTACTTTACATGGCCTTGGATTTAGAGAAAAAATGCAATTGCAACCCTCTTTTTCTTAAACACTTTCAACGTGTGCATTTCCTGTATAACAACTGTCCCAATTCATTTATTCTTTCTAGAGATACTATTTACATTCCTCCTACCACCTTCAAACAGATTTTATTAAAACTACTGTAGAGAAACAGTATTTCATATACTCATCCGCTTTATCAATCTAACGTTTTCTTGAAAGTGTCATAATACGAAGTGAGGACTATTACGGAGACCACATGCCTGTGTTTCTTGTGTTTTATTCAATTTCATTAAAAGTAAGTTATCAATATAAATATATTACGCCAAAGCAGTATTCTATCATCCGCAATCACTGTGTATTTTTATTTCATCGCCTAAACAATTTAACAAATAGCATTTAAGAAGGCCAAATACTCTTTTTGGCGACAGTTAGCCAACAGATAGTGGACGCTGGCTCGTCCCGGATAGCCTAGAACAACATAAATATCTAGTTGCACTGTCAAATCTGTTAATTATCCATTACTTTAAAATACAGTTCAAAACTTGTCATCACACTTTGGTACTCAATCGGAATTCTGAAATTTCTAACTTCCAATGTATATAAAATAACGATATGTTAGCAAGAAAATTCTATTTAATTTCCCTGAAAAAATGTACGAAAAACTTGCGAACTATATGATGTCCTCCTATCCTACGCACGAGAAAACATTTGTGGCTGTATAATATCCTCTGTGTCCTTTGTCTGAAAATTCAAGAAAGACTGTACTACATCTATTCTGTAGTTTATAGGATTAAAAATGACGAAATGTAATAATACA